ATTTGCGAGATGAGAGTGTCGAGGCTATTTTTGCTGCAAGGGAGGAGAAGGAGGCGCAGAGGATTGCTGCTGAAGCCGAGGCAAAGGCAGCAAAGGAAAGGCAAGAGGCGAAGGAGAAAGCAGATAGGGAAGAGAAAGAAGAGGTACGAAGCCTGGTTTTTCTTTATCGGGTGTATGCTTATGTGGCTTTTTTGTGCAGAAAGAGAGGCTTGCGAAGGAGGCGGCTGCTGAGGCAGAGGCAGAGGCTCGAAGGATTGCGCAGGCAGAAGCAGAAGCAGAAGCGAAACGCATCGCCGAAGCGGAGGCGGAGGCGGAGGCGGAGAGAATTGCGAAGGCTGAGGCGGCGGCTGAGGCAAAGAGGATTGCAGAGGCTGAAGCTGAAGCGAAGAGGATTGCAGAGGCTGAAGCTGAAGCAAAGAGGATCGCAGAGGCAGAGGCTGTAGCAGAAGTTTGTTCTTTCTTCTCTCTTCGCTCTTTAGCTCACACGGCTTTTGTGTAGGCCGAGAGACTCGCGGCTGAAGAAGCCGAACGATTGGCTGAAGCGGAGAGACTTGCAGCAGCAGAGGTATGTCCCCTTTACCCTTCCTGGTTAATTGGAGTATGCCAACACGCGTGCTTGTGTAGGCTGAGAGACTTGCCGAGGCGGAAAGACTTGCCGAGGGGGAAAGACTTGCCGCCGTAGAGGCCGAGAAACTGGCTGAGGCTGAGAGACTTGCCGCAGCAGCAGAGGTACGTTCCTTGCGTCATTGAGCTGCATTCTCCTGAGAAGATTTTGTTTAGGCAGAGAGGCTTGCTGTCGCTGAAGCGGAGAGATTAGCTACTGCCGCAGAGGCGGAGAGACTTGCCGCTATAGAGGCGGAGAGACGGGCTGAAGCTGAGAGAGAGGCAGAGGCCGAGGTATGCTTTTTTCTCTTTCTTTTGAACAATCAGGGTGTCCTAACATTCCTTTGTGTAGGCCGAGAGACTTGCTGTCGCTGAGGCCGAGAGGCAAGCTGAGGTGCAGAGACTGGAGGCCGAAAGACTCGCAGCTGTTGAAGCAGAGAGACTGGCAGCGGCTGAAGCTGAAGCAAAGGAGAGAGTCCGAGTACAGGCGCGAGAGCGTGCTGAGGCAAAGAGGAGGGCTGACGAGGCGGAGGCGCAAAGATTAGCTGAGCTGGAGACGCAAAGGCTGGCCAAAGTGGAGGCGCAAAGATTGGCTGAAGCGGAAGCACAGAGAATGGCTGCACTTGAGGCGCAGAGGCTGGCTGAGGCAGAAGCGTTGAGACTGGCTACTGAACAGGCCGAGGTACGTTTTCTTCTATTTTGTACGTGTGGGCGGTTCAATGACGTTTTCACACAGGCTGAGGCTGAGGCAAAGAGAGCCGCTGAAGCTGAGGCAACAGCAGAAACGCAGAGATTAGCTGATGCGCAGGCAAAAGTACATGACGAGGCTGAAGCCGAGAGAACTGCTGATGCTGAGGTATGTCTCTTCATGTATAGCACGACTTTTACTGACCATTTCTCCAGCACGACGAAGAGGATGAGCTCATTGACGAAGATGCGACGGGGGCGCCAACGATTGAGGTTTCGGATGAGGTGTGCTTGTTTCTCCTTTCTTCCATCGTTCCTTGTCTGAATCGTGTACAGGCTCCAGAAAGGGTCGAACTCGGCCCTACGGTCGGAGAGGGAAGTGTGCCGCCGACGAGGTTTTCGTCTCCTGGTGATTTGGAGTATCCTACCGGCGGGGAAGAGGGAGATATCAGTCTCAGGGTAGAGCCACCGTCAAGACAAATGTCGGAGTATCCTCCCAGCGATGAGGTTGAGCAAGACGCGTCATTTGAGCTGGAGGAGGAAGCTGGATCTACCGAAGCACAAGAACACGCTCCCACTGAAGTACAAGGCATGGACGTGCTGATTTCGACGTTCCCGACAACGGAGGCCGGGCCTGTTTTGGATGTCGAGAGGCTTCCGGCAGAAGATGCACAGGCGATTGTGGAGAAAGAGAGAAGGAAGGACGAGGAGCAGGCGAAGGCGAGGGACGCGGCTTTAACTGAGGAGGCTGAGGCGGGAGGTAGCGAGACGAAGGAGGTGCTGGAGGAGGATGCGGAGGGGAGCGATGATGACGAGGCGTACGAGAATCTAGAGGTGCGTTTCTTTCTCTGCTTTTGTGTCGGGACTGATGGCGGCATAGACGAAGGATGCATCGCAGCTGTCTCAGCATCCGGTTGTTATTGACGCTCCGCCACCGGTTATTGAGGAGAGTCGACTGGAGCCGTCTACCCCACAGGAAGAGACTACACCACGGGCGGGGCCATCAAAGATCCCAAGGCCAATCTCACGGTCGAGTGAAGGCAAAGACAGAGAAGACAAAGGCAAGGGCAAGCGAATTGCGCGCCTTGGATCGTCAAGCAAGCCTATTTCTGTCAGCTCGACGTCGTCTCTTTCGTCCGAAGGAACGGAGGGAAGGGTGTCACCGCTTTTCACACCTCCTGGGTCTCCAGGTCAAAGTCAAAGTCAAAGCCAAGGTCAAGGCCCAAGTCAAACTCAAGAGGCGAATGGGGGTGTGTTGCGAGAACCGACGTTGGTGTTGATGCCCGAGACACAGTCCAGTGAAGTTACTCGGTCAACATCCTTGCCAGCGGTAGTAGTAGGAGAGCCGACCCAACCCCGTGTGCGTGGTTCGCGTACAGCCAAAACGCAGTGGGCGACGGCGATCCCTGCACCTGCATCCAAGCTCAAGTCGACGACGATGAACAAGATACCAGCAACCAAGCGGAAAAGGGATCCTCCGCCCGAAGGCAAGAAGGGTGCCCTGATGAAGGGCAAGCGCACGGATGGCGGGACGCCAAAGGCAAAGGGATACTGGCCGACGACGATGTTGTATGGAGGCGGTGCGGAGAAGCCGGTAAAGAAGAGGCATGTGCACATGTTGCCTGGCGGGAGGGCGGGTGGTGGCGAGACTGGTGGGAGTGGACAGCCTGTCGCGTCTGGGAGTGGAAGTAGGTCTGTTGCTTCTGCTCAGCCTGTTGCTTCTGGCAGTGGACAGCCAGTCGCTTCCGGAAGTGGACAGTCAATCACTACCACTCAACCCACCGGCAGCAACAACGTTGATACCTCCTCCACACCGACAGCCGTTCTAAAGGCGCCTGCGCCTGCGCCACCAACGATCGACACGACGCAGCACGCAACACACACACTTGGGAGCAGTATCACACCGGAGTACTCTTCACCCGTGACAAGGTCGAATTGCCCTTACCACCGCATTCGGATGCCTGAGCTCACCGAACCGCCTTCATCCAATGAAGGAGCAGGGACGCCCCCACCATTTGCGCCCCGAATCCTCGACTTCCTTGTTCCCGGATGCACCCTCGGCGACCTCGAACTCATGGAAGAAGAAATGATATCTGACCTCGGCGTGGCGACACGTGCCGACGCGGCGCAGGCCGTGCAAGGCGACATTGAGGAAGATTTCGATTTTGAGGATGATTTGGTGGGTACGATGAGGAAGCTGGTTGGTGTGGATCTCATTAGAGATCGAGAGGTCTTTTGGGTTCCGGCGGAGGGTCAGGTCGTGAGGAAGAGGGTTGTGGCTAGTACGGCGAGTGCAAGTGCGGTTGCGAGGACGGCGAGCGCGAAGACGGCGCCTGGACGCACAAATAGTGCTGCTGGGCAGAAGAAAGGCAGATTACCGAAAGCGCGGAAAAGTCAGGTCCAGGTCCAGGATGGAGATGAGACGGATGAGGAGGTGAGGCCGGCGAAGAGACAGAGAGTGGGTGAGCCAGTTGCGGCTGGTGACACCCTTGTCTTGCCACCTTCCGGTTCCCAGCAGTCCGCGTCTTTGCCCGGCACGCCGACGAATGCGCTCAAGAGGAAGCGTACAAAGAAGATTGGGAAGGATGCCGCGGAGTATAAGCCTACGGCCAAGGCTGACGATAATCATGCGCCGGAGCCCAAGAAGAGGAGGGTCGTGAAGAAGAAGTCGACGGCGCAACGGGATGTGCAAGATCCTCTTGTTCAAAACGACGAGGAGGGCCGTGAGCCGAAAAGGCAAAAGGTGCAGGAGGAATGAATGTGCTGTGTTTCTTTTAGTCTTTTATATGTATCTTATTATATCTCGTGTCGTATTTCATCCTTTCTTGCAAATGATTTGTTTCTCTCTTGGTTTGTGTATATGTATGGGGAAGGTCTTCAGCGACGAGACTCTTGCAAAAAAAAGGCATCTGGGAGACAGCTCTGAGCTGAAAAATAAAGTGATGGTTGACTGTCCTCGGTGTCAAAAAGCTTCTAGCCCACCGCGGGGGTCGAACCCGCAGCCTTCAGATGGCCTTGCCTTAAAAGTCTGACGCTCTATCCGATTGAGCTAGGCAGGCTGATAGGTAGTCACAGCACAAACAATGCGTGGAGAAGGAGGATATCTGTGTCCAGGCCAGGTCAAGGCCCTCTGTAATGTCCGTGCTGCGCCTGCCGCGAGGTATAAGAGAAGGTGGATGCCATCGCGAACATCCCGACGAAGCGTGCAGCGAAACACGCAGCGATCTATTACCTCTCATTGCTCACCTGGAAGTCACAATATTAAGCAACCAGGTAGAGGGAGATTTACGGACGCTCGTTTTTCTACTTTTTTTTTTGGACGCGGCCGGCCTTGTTGATGCATACAAGCGACAACCGCTCTTTGCCGCCATCCATATTCTAAGTACTACGTAGCTCTTGTGTCTATCTAGTACCAACTCGTCGTTACGATTGGAAAGAATTATAAGTCGAAACATATCCACATCTCGTGTTCTTATTCCCGTTCTTTCTACTGTTTATTTCGGAAACTCTAGGTAGTGTGCTACATACTACACCCAAAAGTTGAGCATAAGTACAGACTCCAGGAAGATGGGAGCTGCTATAGTACAATGGGAATGGCAGACAAGTTTCTGTCATTAAACACCATCTCTAGAAGACTCAATCAGCTCTTGGGGCATTGAGAAATCTGTACCCACCGCCCAGCGGCACTCATAAAAAGAACAAAATCAAAACGACACCAGCAGGGTTCGAACCTGCGCCCTCAAAGAGGAGAAGATATGATCAGATTATGACTAATCGGATGACCCGATCAGACAACCAATTCAAATCTTCCGCCGTAACCACTTGGCTATAGTGCCTTGGATTCCGTTACGCGCACACTGTCCACAACCTGACCGAATCGATAGCTAGTTCTTGCTCCAAATAATGAATTTGAACTCAGACTGCGAAGCAAACTCGTGCTTATAACTTATACCAATGCTACTCCTGGCCCGTGCTTGGACCTCGCGGACTAGTTCGACTATTTCTCTTCTGGTAGACACGAATAATAGGGAAATTGACCTGAGCTTCGAAGGCATGCCTTTTGCTGCCCTAGTGTTAGTTCATAGTTCGACGTTTCCACCCGCCAGAAAGCAGGCTGGCGTGGCTTTCATGTTTTTCTCCACAGACGCAGCGAGTTTACTTATGTCCCCAATACTGCTATGGTCTGCTATCCGTCCTCCTTGATAACGGTAACGGGCCTACTCTGGGGGAAATTATGTAGGCTCGCATGCTTGCTAACGGTTTCAACTTGAAGCGGTAAGCCTTGAATGAATGACTCCATGTCCAAGGACGTGATCAAGGACACGACTCTAGGAGTGGGGTACCCATATATTTGCCCTTCAAAATTTGATGTACAACAGGGCTGCCAAATCCTCTAGAATGCGAGTGTGTGCCTGTTCGTGCGACTGGGAAAGACCGTAGCGTCAGGCTGTCACTGGGAAGGAGTGTGTCAATTTGAAGGAAAGCAAGCTCTGAGAAAGACCCGAAAATTCCGCTCGGTATGAGGGGTATCGACACAGTCAATATTAATCAAGGAAAGCATAGTATCAGAGGTGTCAAAGCTATATCATCACGCCACTGGAGGTTCAGCCTGCGCCGTCTGTCCAGCATCCGCCTTGCGTTGCAGAAGCTCCAAATGCACATTGAAGTATCTGCCAAAGTCCTGTCAGTGTTTGTCCGAAGGCATGGCAGACCACACACCTATCGACGCTTCCAAGGGCACGACACTCTCCGTCACCACTGTTTCCCCATTTCACAACCCAGCTGCCAAGGAGCTCTCCGTCCTTCGTGAAGGTCTCTGCAACTGTTTCCTCTGTCCCTGGGGCCGGGATCTCATCCTTCCTGGACGTGGGAAGCAAAACACGGAACGGGAGTTCCCATTTGGCCATAGGGCGTTGTGTGTCGACCAGGAAGTCCGTGTCGTATATCTGCCACCGGAATGAGCAGATGCAATGCGTATCTACCGGGATGGAGAATGCAGAAAACGCACCTTGGTTATCCTCGGGTTCAAAAACATCGTCAGGCTCGTTATTTCCAGCTCATACCCCCCTGCTGGCGTCTTGAACTTTGACATGCGTGTGACATATGGGCGTGTGCAGTAGCTGACCAGACCTGTGCTAACGGCGGATGTCGTGACCGCGATAGCCGCGAGAGAGATGCGCGCGACGGTAGGCAAATGCGACTCGACGATGAAGAAGAACGGGGAGATGGCTGTTGTTGCGAAGAGAGAGGATACGGAAAGAACTTTGAGGCGCCTGAAGGTGCGAGTGAGAGGGCCTTCGTAGATTTTCTTGCCGTCGTGCGGTATGGGCGCGGGGGATGCTGCAGACTCTGGTGGTGCGGCCGCTGCTGTTGAAGAAAGCGCTCGGAAGTTGGTGAATAGTGGCCTTCTGCATAATGTCGCGGATTTGGTGGACAGTACGCGGGCACGCAATACGCGAACATGGGCGGAGGAAAGCATTATTCCTGCAGATCGAAAGCGCCAAAACTTGGAATTGAAGGATCGAGCTTTTGCAGGAGGAGTTATTCAACGAATCGGGAGGTCGGTAATTCGAATGGCCTTGTCCGTGTGAGACCGATGAATAGGCTGTAGTCGGCGAGCGCGCTGGACAAAGCAATGCTGGTAGAGACCACGAACGAATGTGGACGGCCAAGTTGCGTCAGCTGGCCGAGTGGACATGGCTCGGTGGCAATAACAGCATGACATTGATTACACCCTGTCGCCCGACACTCCGAGAGTCTTGACGCGCTGAGAGACAACTTGTTCATGGAATGAGTATGAAAAGTGGATTTTTGTGCCATTGACATTACATTATGTAACTATAATTCTTTCTCGGGCTATTTTGGAGACAGGGTATCCTTACATCGAGTTGGATTGCTTGCATGATTACTACAGAAGTCTATCGCACTTCCCATGGAGAATTACTATCCATGGCTGCTTCCACCAACAGCGAGCAGGAACAGATTCCATGCCTGCAGATTATCATCCTGTGGTTATTCATATTGAAGCTAGTAGTAGTACCCACCTGCCATCGTCAAATGACCGTCTGCCAGGCGATTTGACAAGGCCCTAGACTCAGAAGACCAAATGATTATATTTGCAAGCTAAAAGCAGGATTTGGCTTGGGGATCCCAATGAGTGACCCCGTATTGAGAGTATTTTAATATTTGGTTGCGCAACATATCCAATCTTTCGTTGAGGTACTACTAGATTTTATGTCTTCAGAATGCCCGGTGAAGGAAAGGGAGGGCCTTGTTTGTAGTAGTGCTCAGCACGAGTGCACTGAACACGAGATTTTCGAGTGTTGATAGTATGAGCGCCGGAGGGGTTTCCTCCTTGTATAGGTAAGTACCTCATGAATGCACATTCATGTGGTGGTGTGCAGTCGACACCAGGTTTTGCAAGAGATTCGGGGAGTTGAAAGGGAGACCGATGACAAACGGTAGGAATTACCTTCCATAGCTTGTCGCAACCATCATCATATATTCAATACAATCCATTGCAATTTTTTGACGGGAAAACATGGAGAACGCGGGGCTGGCGAGATGGCTGAGACATCGGGACTGCCAAAGCTCTGTGTTGGCAAGAGACGAGTCGGGGAAACCGGACCGCGTGCCGAAACTCGAAAATCGCTGACGCTCCTCCTGCACTGACTGCCATCCCGCCTTTTTGGCCACTCCGGAGCCCAATCGAGGTACATCATTAGACTCGGAGAGTTATACAGAATCTAAGTACTAACTTTTCCTCAGCCCGGTTCACTCTCAAAAAACCTCTGCTGTGGCATATTCAGAGAGCCACTCTGTATTACTTGTCGACAGCACGACGATCGTTTTGCTTCTATCCTCTCTCTTGTCTGCCTCATGAGCTCCGCAGTGGAGTCTCGAGGCAATAGCCGACCTACAAGGAACGCAGCCTCGGCCAGCGCTTCAGTTCATCGACGCTCAGCCAGCCACGAACATAGCTCCCTCAGTCCGGTACCCGAGCCAGTAGGCTGGGAACATCCTGACGAACTTCCTCTTCTCGATGCTTCGTCCAAAACAAAGGATGAAATAGTAGAGGAACTACTCGCAGGTCGCGTCTCCATCCCCGGTCGACCATCCAGTCGTATGGTAGACCTCGTCGCCATAACCTCAATTGATGGAACGAAGACGATGATTCCTTCGGGATACCGTATACCACTGCTTTTTGTGATAGAGTTTCTGTGGTGGAGCATGCGTCTTGTGTTGGGCGCTCAGAAGGACATCAGAGAGGAGGAATGGAGGAATTTTCGCAGTGGGATTTGGTATGTCGGACGGCTGCTCAGCTTCTTCTTGGAGGCGGCGCGAGAAAAGGCGAAATCTCCGGAGAGTATGGATAAGCGATGGCGTTGCCCAACCTTTGACCGAGTATTATGTCGGTATCGGATGGGATGGATGCTGTCTTCGCGTGAACATCTGGAGGAATTTCACAGTATCCATGGAGAAGAGCCTTATAAACGAGACATGCTGACGTTTCGTGAGTGTAAAGTTATATTGCGTCGTGCTTTTCTTACATGTTACACAGACTGGAAGACAGTGGCTACGAAGGGCCAGAGCAGTCTCAAAGTCCCGATGGCACATATGGACGAAGGTGTGGATGCCATTGAATTTTCGAAGGGTATCGTGAAAGTCGATGGCGACTGGATATACGAGGACCCGGCTAATGTGGCCCTGCCGGCCAATCCCGAGGCTCCTGCACCTTTCGAGGCTGAACCGCCGCCACCTCCGGATGAACCTGCTCCAGCTATTCCCTCAGTCGCCAAAGGGAAGGGGAAGGAGAAGGTCGATTCGCCCGTTCATCTCGAGACCTCAGATGAGAACGTGCTCATCGCGAGCCCAGTCAAGCGGAGGAAGAAGCGAGAAACCTCGCCGAAGCCACGGAAGCGGCGCAAACTTGCGACACCGACTGACTCTCTCTCTGACCTCTCCGATGACAATGTCGGCTCTATCCTAACGGCGCAGACATCACTATCCACCTTTCCAGATGTTGCTGCTAGCGATGATGGGGTCGCTGTACCGGAATCACCCGCGTCGCTCGAGTATCCTACAGACATTGACTCCCCACCGCCTTCAACGAGGTCGTCACCGCCCTCGGACATCATTCTTCCGAGTGTTTCTCTCTCTGCGCTTGCGAAAAAGCCTCGAGCGAAGCGTCAGAAAGCACCCCAGCCCTTGAACGCACTACTTGATTCGGATATTCCCGATCGACCTGCCTCAACCAGCACACCGAAAGCGCTCGCGGAGGTTGTCGTCACACAAGCGAAACCAGCAAAGCCACCCAAGGCCGTCCAGAAAGTTGCTCGTACCCCCTCGGAAGCTGAGTCTTCATCGAGAGGTGAAGATGCGCCACCTTCCGACACAGCCGACACGTCTATCTCTACCCCAGCAGAGGATGCGGCTATTCCCTATAAGCGCGCTCGAAAGAAAGGGACAGTCAAGCAAAAAGCTGTTTCCCCAAGCGCTGCTGGCCCCTCTGTGAAAAGGGCCGCCAGAGATGCTACCACGTCGGCAGCGTCTCAATCCGCCAGCTCGCGAAGACCGTCTCCAGAACCTGCATTGCCCCCTGCGCCTCAAGCAGACCCGCGTAGCCAGTGGTATCCTCCACATAACCCCTACGCGCATTTTATGTTTCCTCAATATTCCTGGCCGCCTCCGCCTCCGCTCACGGGTCACCCACCGGTCATGGCCCCGAAACCAGTGCACCCTGTACCGACCCCGCATGTACAAATTACGCCGACGCCTCCGCCAGCGCCTTCACCGACACCTCCACCGCCAACCCCACAAATGGATGAAGCGACCTTGATCGAGACGCTCCTGGAGCTCGTTGCCCATGCTGATGATATGCGCTCTCAAGAGGCTAGGTTAAGACTGGTTGAGGAGGAGACGAAGGAGCTGAAGAGGAAGGTAGGGGCCTGGGAAACCTGATCTTGGTGAACACACGCGAAGTTTTATTTCTCTCAGTCGCACTGGATTAACCATCAGGCACTGGCACCCATAGCGTGAGTCCTTCTTATGTCGTCGACTTGTTTTTGGTCTGCAGTTTAATTGTAAACGAAATGCCGTATTGGCAATTATGATTGTATATTCCTGATACACCTCCTACTATACCCTCTCGGCGGTGCGCACATTAGTTGTACTCCCGTTTGGACAATTGGAAGAGACGACCCATCACGTCTTTGGGCGCCTCCCGCAGACCGCTGTGCACAAGCTGGTTCGTGATGTACTGCTCCGTATTCTTGATGGTCTTTGCTGTGTTTTGTGAGAGGTCAAAGTCGACATACATGTCATCCACGTATCTGAGTGCTGGTGAGTACGTTGCAGGGGGGGATCTCCGTCGAGACTCACTGCACTGCAGAAACATTGACGGTGTTCTTCGCGAGCTGCTCGGTATCCCACAACGGCCCCCAGCCATCATACGCCGCAAGAATTTCTGCAGCGCCCTTGAGGGGCCGTAGAGTTGCGTAGTCGTCGAACATGCTTGGGAAAATCTGGGGGACGTTTAGTTGACAGTCACCAGCAAACGCCGAGAGCTCACCATCTCGCCAGTGAAATATACCGGTTCAGTGTCGGCCAACAGCTTGACTTGACTCCAGTGGAACTGTGGGTGTTGCTCGAGGGTTCGAGCAGCCGACCAACGAGCAGCGGCGCTGTGTATCACACCATCAAATCCTATTCATGAAGTATGTGGCAAGACAAACCCTTGACAGTAAATTGGCTCGTGCAGAATGGCAAAGAGAGGGTTGGTGTCGAACCCCTGGGCACCCTCGATAAGACTAATAGTCTTATTGGACAAACGGCCGAAGAGCTCCAGATCGTTGACCGCATGGAAAACAAGTTCTAATCTGTGGTTTGAGAGCGCACCATTTGAGATTACTTCTCAGTGCTTACGATGGACGCGGTCAATCCCGTCTATGTGAAAGCCCTCTTTGAGTCATCTCTGGACGAAATGAAAATGAACAACTGACTGTGCATCCCAAAGTCCATGCCAAGTTGTTGGAAACGTGCGGGAGAAAGTCTGCCCCCGTTAGACGAGAGGACTTCATTTCCATCTAGGTAGGCCATAATATCGCGGACCTAGCAGCGTCGGAGGTCAGTGTCTCGTCTGAAAACACATCGCCGTACTCACACGCTTCACGTCCTGAGGGTACTTCTTGTAATATACCTCATTCCTAGTAATGACACGACCTATCATGGCCTTGGGTTCAGCCAGACTATCGGCAAATGGGTTGACTCACGAACGGTATGCTCGTACACAATATCCGGTTGGGAGACCAGAGGTGCCAATCCGCCGGTCGTGAAAACCTCTTTGAGCCCAGCGCTGTGGAAAGACAGGTAGGTGATCGCACAGAATCCGCCAAAGCTTTGGCCGAGGATGGTCCACTTCTGTTCCTCCGGATTCGTCTTATGTCCCAGAAGTGTTTTACGAATTGCTTCACAGTCGTTCACTGGAGGGGGGTCCTGTTGTAAGACGATGCACAGAAAGAAATGAATTGCTCACCGATGTTATCAGCTCGAAAGTGCTTTAAGTAGTCGGCAATATCCTGGTCGGTCTTCAACCGAGTTGGAATGATGTCCGCGGAAAACGGAGTGCTCAGTCCTGTCCCACGCTGATCAAGCCAGAGTGTCTGCAGTACAGCCATTGGCTTCAAATCACAAATTCCAACACAGGGAGTCTACAAACCTGATAGCCTTTCTCATGAATCTATCGAATATCAGAGTCGGTCACTTCAGATTCGGCGGGCGACAAACCTCGCCCGTGTAACCGCTGATATCAGACAGTGGGACTTCGTGTCCCGGGCCGCCTGTGCTTCCCAGAATCAACGGTCTGTCATACACATCGAGTCTATGCCCTACCTTGTAGGTAAACCACTAGAATATCAATTACCACATCGTGAATTTTACAAGAGGAAAGTGACTACAACGTACAAATGGGTAGCTTGTCTTCTTCCTCAGGTGTTTTCGCCTTGTCAGTCGGGATCATGCTGCGCGCAAAGACGCGTATCTTCTCGCCTTCCGGCTCTTTGTAGTCCAAAGGAAGATTGAAAAAGCGCTCTACGACCTTGACACCTCCTACAGTGCGCTCTCAAGTGAGACGAGCCCCAGTGCTCCGGCGTGTCGAGCGACCTTACCTTTGAGCACATACGATTCTAGGACCTCGCTCCCAAACTTTGGCGTCGCTTGTGGGGAAATTTGGGTCATAGTGGAAGTTGAGAAGTGAAAGTGTTGTTTCGGCGCTGAGAGGTACACCTGACGCGGACGCCTGAGATAAACACGTAGAGATAGCATATCACCGGGGCGCTATCACTTGTATTAGGAATGCCCACGGAATAGGACCAGGCTGAGGTCCAGGCTGCACCGGAACCTACAGCGCTCGAGTGTGACAAGCCAAGCTACTTCGCTGGTTGGCCACTGGAGGCGGAGGCTACGGAACGTCGCGAACCAGAGCAAAAAGTCGATCGTCAAGTTCACGTTGATCAGAGTGATGCTACTGTGAATTATTTTCAGAAATCGACTTACTTATGGGTGCCCCAACTTGTTGTGACCGGCATGGGACCAGTTTTCATACTTTTAGTTGATTCCACCCCAAATTCCCCCCAATACGCAAGGACATTTCTTTTGCAGTACAGCCACAGAGCCCACGTTATCAGCCCGCCTAGCTCAATCGGATAGAGCGTCAGACTCTTACGACAGTAGGCAGGGCATCTGAAGGCTGCGAGTTCGACCCTCGCGGTGGGCTATTCAGGTTCTTGCTCATGTTTTGTTGGCCGACTGCTCAGGCTCTCACACTAACCCAAAATACGTGTTTGTCAACCATTCTAAATCGACGCGCATTTGACACAACATCTGCGGATAGAAATTGCTAATGAACTTTGAACTAAAATAAAAATACACTGGTGTAATAGGGCACTAGTTAATGGGTATATATACAAGGTGTTATTACGAGGGGATATCCAAAAAAAATCCTCCGGGGTTGACAAGCCATCTAACTCAACAGTAACCCCTCTCAGGCAGACAAAACGGGCGGAGCCCCATTCCTTAGGACAGCCGCCTTGCGTATTGCTACTGCACACTCGTCCTGACTTAATTCCACCTTCTCCACAACGTCCGCCAGCGACCCAAATGCGCTCTTCACCGTAGGGATGCACTGTGCTCTGGGGGCAGTGTACGGCATGATTAGCGCGCCGTTGGTCTTGGTCGGTGTCGGTAGAGGAGTCGATGGACGAGAGATCAAAGATGGTGTCGACGGTGCTGAATAGAAGCTTCCTGCACTGCCCAGACTACGCTGTGCAACCGTGACAGGCCTTGGCTGCTGCATGAAACGCATCACGGCTTGAGGTAGAGTAGCGAACATTGTAGGAAAGGGATCGGCAATCGCCCGTTTGCCTGCTGCATTGACAACCTGGAGCTTGAAGTCGCTTTGGAGCAACAATTCATGCTGGGAATGCGAAATACTACCAAGTATTGTGGAAGGGTTGGCCAGAATGCGATTATGCTTGTCGACCCCTTCATGCGGAAGTGCAGGACCATCATCCGCATCGAAGCGCCATTGCTCTGCAAGCCGGGCTTCGTCGTCTGGGTGGGTGACACATGCGCGTTTGTGTGGCAAGCGCCTATCCATCCCTGGTGCAAGCCGTCGATCCACAAAAGTCCGTCCATTCCTGCCAGTGCGTAATCGCACGTTCTGACCATGTGTGCGGCCCTGGTGGATGTTCTTGTTGGCGACAGGCGGGTCCGCAAGTGCAACTCTCTTGAATAGACGAGACAACGGAGGATGATATGGTGCAACATAAGGGTTCATCTGCAAACAGCTACTAGACCTAAGTTGACTTTGGATGAATAGGTTGACTTATACTACCCTAGGTTGACCATGGTTTTCCCCTCCAGGGAAAGGTTTGATGGAACAATAAACTATGGTTAGTCACAAGTCAACTAAGGGCGGCCCAGGTTTACCCAAGTTCAACCAAAGTCAACCAGAGTTTTAGGATTGGAATGAGCTTACCACCAGGGCAGTGCAGAGTTCCATTGAGGTTTGCTAGAGGGTAAGGTCACAATGAACTGTTATCTGAGGTCATCCTCCGGGTAGCTAAAGTTACTAGTAAGTTTTCTCTGAGTTTTCTTCAAGTTAACTTGAAGAAAACTCAGAGTTAACTTGAAGAAAACTCAGAGGAAACTTAGAGGAAACTTCAATTAAACTTGAAGGAAACTCTGTGATAACTCCAAGTCAACTTGAAGGAAACTTGAAGAGAACTCTAAGTCAACTTGAAGAAAACTCTAAGGTAACTCCAAGTCAACTTGAAGAAAACTCTAAGGTAACTCCAAGTCAACTTGAAGGAAACTCTGTGGTAACTCCAAGTCAACTTGAAGGAAACTTGAAGAGAACTCTAAGTTAACCTGAAGGAAGCTTGAAGAGAACTCTAAGTTAACCTGAAGAAAACTTAAAAAAAACTCTAAGTTCACTTGAAGGGAACTTAAAGGAAACTCAGAATATACTTGAAGGGAACTGAAGGTTAACTTGTAGGTGACTTCAAAGAAACTCAAGGTTAACTTAAGTCCAAAAGAAGTCAACCACAAGTTCCTGATAAGTTAACTAGGTTCCACTTAAAGTAGACCATGTACCTCACATCAGTTTTCACATGACAACCTTAGGTCACATACATCTCAAAAAAAAACAGGAAATACAATACTGCATATTAAAAATAGGTACAAAACCATATCTACCATACCAATTACTATAATTATCAAACTGAGCGGAGCACTAAGGTACAGGAACAGATAAAAATGCGAAATGAATGTAAGAGTTAAGTCCTTATGCCATACGAGCCCGCCTTGCCGCCTCATCCTGCGCAGCCTGCATCATCATCTTGACGGCTTCACCATCCTCGGTCACCTCGGTGCGCACCAGCCAGCCCTTTCGCGCCCTCTCACTGGAATGAGGGTTAAGTAAGAAATCACAATAAAACCGATCACATACCAAGCCTGCTCGAAAACCTTGACCTTCCACTCCTTGAGCAAATCGGGAAAGTCCAACTCGTAGCCACGGAGCTTGAACATGACATCGGTGTAGGTGGTGGCGGAGGCGACGGTGAACGGCTTGCGTTCCCAACGGCCACCAGCATACTCATCAATGACATGATTACCCTGGAAACAAAGTCAGCAAATGAATTGCAAAATCAGATGACATACACAAGTGAGGATCAACCCAAGGAGGGAAAGCGGAATTTCCTGAGCCTCCATGACCCAGGCAAATGCATCGACGTCGAGCCTGGAGCGTTGCGTAATGAGAAGGCTGGTGGCAACCTCAACAACCCATTCGGCCTGGCCAAACTTGAGCACATCAAACGTGCGGTTCTGAAGAATGTGTGAGTATAGTCAAGAATGCAATTCCGGCACATACCACAAGGTCAATACTACCGTACTGCCATACGCGATTTGTCTTGATCCAGTGGACGTCCTCGACGGTGATCCGCTCGGCTTCCTGGGCATTGGGCGCAGCCCGGGGAATACCCATGAGGTGGATGGCTCCTCGAACGAGGCAAACGGTTGTCGCACGGCAAGCCTGATTGGTGTAGTCAACCTATCGGCAAGTTAGTATCTGGAATACCTGCCGAAAATGCAGTACTTACATAAGTAATGGCCCGAGCCAGGCGAGGACTATCCCGCAGCCTGTTCCAAGTGTGAACATGTTGAGGGCTGCCGTAGCGGGAATCGTGCGCGGTGCGGTGCATGGTGGCCGTGATTCGGTCCTCGAGATCGTAGGGCGAATGATAAGCATTTTCGGTGATGATTTCCGCACGGCTTATATTCTTGACATGCTTGAGGAAGATGCGCTCGCGCGAGGTGAACTCCGCCCCAATGACTTTGGCCGACTTGCGGAGCGGCGTGCGAACATCATCGTCAACGTCCTCGAACTCGTCGTCGCACTGTGCACGTCGTTTGCGAGTTGTGGGAGCCACGGTGGTGGCGTCAAAGATGTCCTGGAAGAAATGAGACAAAGAATAATATATTGACGAGTTTGACTCACTGGGCCATCCTCGACATCCATGCCATGGTCATCATCATCCTCAAAGCCCCCACCAAAATCGTCGTCAGCGTCGTCGCCATCGCCCAACGCAGGTTGTCTCGGACCAACGTCGCGCTCGTCGTCGGACTCATCCCGATGAGCCTTCGACTGTTGAACGTAGCTCAAATGCAGACCTGCCAGAGCGTCGTCGACATCGGCTAGCGGCGGCATATCCTGCGCCGAACCGGCCGTCGCCTGTGCTGCTACAGGGCCGTCGACCTCTTCATCACGCTCAGCAGCCATGATGGCTTGTGCGCGTCGGTGGGCGACTGTGGGAGCTGGTAAGTTGCCGATACACTGGTGGTGAACATTTCTGCTCACCCTCTTCTTTCGCCGCCTTCCTTGCTGCGTCTTTACGACGTTGGGCAGCGAGCTTGGCGGGAGTCGGACCAGGAGTGATAGGCGCGGCGGCTTGTGCGACTTTTGCTGCACCGCGGGTGACGGCGCCCGGACGACGAGCAATCAGCTGCGCCCTCGTGATGGTCGAGGTCTTTTCAGCGATGCTGGCGGCGCGAGTTGTCGGCGTGGAAGTCGATTGCGACATTGAGCTCGGTATGGAATAGGAGAAAGAGTGAGTGAGAGAAGAGGGGAAAAGAGGGAATGGGAATGATGATTATTGCCGTCGCGGTGTCTAGCTTATATACAAGTCGTACGGAAAATTGGTGTTCCGCGCTGGGGCTTAGCAACACGGGATTATGGTGAAAACATACCGTAAACAAACGGGTAACACAGCTGCGCAAACGAAATAATACAAACTGTAAAGTAGCAACGTAATGTTACAATGGAAACTCACTGCCATTTGGGGAACATCCTATCAACTAGCAGCGCTGGGCGCTCCGCATCTTGCCCAGCCTCGTGATCCGCCATTGAGTACTCCTTCAAGTAGCGCATCCAGCCCCGCTTTGAATTGCCGCCACGGTACACGAATTCTGAGAGGCCGCCGCTGCTGTACGATGTGACCGAATATCGGATCTCGTCCTCGCCAATTTGGATATTTGCGTGTGGAAACAATGCCGTTGGGAACCATGCTTCAGCTCCCTGCGGGAACTGAATGAGGAGCCGTAGTGTTGGAAAGACGATGTGTCCACCGGTACGGTAGTTGTACGGTCCAAAAGCGCGCAGCGGTGCCCACCCATACGCATTGTCTGTATCGTCGATATGTGTCTCGCAGATGGTCTGAGGACCGAAATTGAACGTTGTGAGCGCAAAGGGAAGCTCCTCGAAGTTGAACTTGAGGTGTTCGCAGTCTGGGTGCATCGAAATCGCCTCGCGAATATCCCAATACGTCGAGTGCATATCTGGGTTGTATATCCTCCATGTGACTGCTCAAACGGACTCGATGAGCAGGTGTTAACGCAGCATTGAGAACAGTGCACATACTATCTGACTGTCGTGCCTCATAGACAAAGTCCGGGTTGTTGAGTAGCTCCGCAAGGATTCGACGATTGGTAACCAAGTTGTCCACTCGTAAAGGTATCTGCGCAAGCATGGATATCGAGATGTGGAATGTAAAGTCTGGGATACATACGGGTGTTCCAGTGGCATGGACAATGCCCTCTCTCAGAGCATAGAAATCGCCCTTCCCGCCGGTTTTTTTGCTGAGCAAGGCCTTTTCAGATGCTTTGCGCAGAGCCTCTGTCATGCGCTCTTGCCTCTCCAATCCCTCCTTCGACATG